AACAAATAACATTACTCTGTAACATTGATTCGTTACTCTGAAAATTCGTTATTCCAGATGATTTTACAAGAGACGGCGTAGTCCGAATTATCTGAAAACATTAATATTGCTAAATGATTATAGTTTTATTATTTTTAGCTTCATTATTTCGCGGGTTTTCTTCACAGTAAGTATCGTCATCGTATTGTGTGCAAACCCATGAAGTATTGAAGCTGGATTATATGATCAACGTGGCAAATGTGCATCAACAAAAGAATTCTGTAAACAAATACTCGCAAATGGTATTTAATTTTTTTTTTATCCACTTTGATTTATCCCTGTTAAAGCTTGGGGCAGTGGGGTAGCCTGGTGGCTTTTCACGCCTAAGCTCCGGGTTCTATTCGCAACATGGGTGCAACGAGTGAAGCCAAATGACCCCTGTCGTGATTTTACTTGAATATTGCATCAATCAGCGTAAAAAACATACTCACTCATTCACCCACTGTCTGCTGTTCCTTACTTCAAAATAATTGTGCCACTCTCTGAAAGATGTCAAATCTTTCTTTGCTTCATTAAAACGTCTGTTGTTTGGTAAGAGTTTCATAGTGTTGACATTATTCTCGAATTCCTTTATACACAGAAAAAAACTCATATGGACGAACGTTCGAGTATGTTTTTATCGTTGACAGTTTATCCGACTTATAACTTCCGTTTGTACAATACACTACGAAAGACCGGCGTTAACGCCGCAATATTTAAGCGTTTTTGATATTTCCTCTGCAAAGTTCGCAACATACATGTCACTGGTTGTACTATACAACGTTTGACAGGCATTCAGAAATGTTATCGTGTGTTGTTTCACCCTGCAATGTCTGAACTATATAAGGGCGGTCTGTTAATAATCGAGTCTGGACCAGAAAACCAGTAATTGATAGTATGAGCAGCTTTACACGTCATCTGAGAACGAAGACACGCAATCAACCAAGTCACCGAGGTGAGGTGAGGTGAAATTGGGTTTAACGTCGCGTCCAAGATTATTGGACTTATATAGCGACGTGCATGCACGTGTATGTGTGTGTGTGGCTGCTTGTACTAGTCCGGACTGATGCCGATTTATAGTGCTAGCTCACTGAGATACCATGCCGCAGTTTAACATGAATACCCCACTCAGACACAGTATACTGACTCCGAGCCGACCAGTCCTTGTTTTAGCCCCTTAATGCCGAGCGCCAGACAGGGTAACAACAAGTACAATCTTTTAACGTCTTTTTGTATGACGCGGCCCGGGATCGAACCCTGGACCTTCCGCTCTCCGGGCGGACGTTCTACCACAAGACCACGGAGGCGGTCAACCCACCGAGCCTGACCACCCGATTCATTAAGCCGTAAGGCAAGTATATAAGCTGACGGGGATCAATTCAAACACGACATCCCCACGGTGGTACGTTGCAATAGCAGAAGTTTCCAACTATGTATTTGCCACAAATAGCTGCACGGATGCGGCTTTAAAAACAGTAGTCACTCACTCACTCCAGCGCAATATATTTTGAGCATTTCCTTAATAGGTGGTATGCTGGTCCAATCATCTGTTAAAAACTGTGCAAGCATCTGTTAAAACATCTGCAATCATCTCCAGTTACGAAGGAGTAATTGTGTGAGTGTTATTTTCACAATAAACATTTGACTGCCTACGGGAAGAAAAAGAAGACACAAATGTAAAGTCCTGTACGGAGATCTCCTTCCCAATGTCGCATTGAGCAATGATAGACTTGAATTCACATGGGGGGCGAGGACAACCTGTGACTAAGACTCAGGTAAAGAGGAATGTGACGCATTGTAACGGATGTGTTTACAACACATGAGCCTTACGAGACGTACTTCACAATGGGTAGGTTTCATGATCGCATACGTTAGAACAGCGAAGTCATGATCGGGTGTGTGCAATTTTATTCTCTTGAATTTGATCTACATAACAAACTGGATATGATCAGTTATACAGTTGCGTTGTATCAACTTACATATGAATCTAACCATATCTTGTTCCCACAGTACATGTACCACTTGAGCAAATGTATTCAGCGTCACACTTGTAGACCAGAAAACGACAGGCATGGGTCAGATAAATGCATATGTGTGCTTGTGTTTGTTTGTTTGTGTTGAGTGTGCGTGCGTGCGTGCGTACGTGCGTGCGTGCGTGCTTGTATTTGTTATTGACCGATACATTAGGACACTTACAAGTAGAGTCTCTAGTAGTACGGTAACCATTGAAGCGACACTATCTTCCCTTTGTCCTGCTGAAAGAGCCACGCGGCACAAATGAGTGGAACCCTGACTAGACTTTCTACTCGTACCACGTACGAGTATCATCAGGCCATACTTATTAACTAGTACGTGGTACGACAAGGATGCGCTCGCCAATAAAAGCTGGGTTTTTTACACTAGTTTGTTTTTATCTTTTGCTATAATGTGCCTGAGAGTTAGAACTTTATATATATATATATATTTATGTATGTATGTATGTATGTATGTATGTATGTATGTATGTATGTATGTATGTATGTATGTATGTATATATGTGTGTGTGTGTGTGTGCGTGTGTGTGTGTCTTAGTCTGCTTTAATCATGTCCCGTAATTGTGTGTATAATTTGCCAGAGGACTGCTCTAAACCATCAGCGTAAAAAAACCGTTATGTTCTTAAATACACAAAGAGTTCTAAGGCACTGGGACTACAGTTATTAGTAAAATGTCACACAACACTGTCTAACATGTTTGTTTGTTTGTTGTTTAACGCCGCAATCAGCAATATCCTAGCTAATGACGGCGGTCTGTAAATAATCGAGTCTGGACCAGACGATCCAGTGTTTGACCTTATGAGCATCGATCAACGCAATTGGGATCGATGACATGCGTGAACCAAGTCAGCGAGCCTGACCACCCGATCCCGTTAGTCGCCTCTTACGACAAGCATAGTCGCCTTTTACAGCAAGCATGGGTTGCTGAAGACCTATTCTACCCCGGATCTTCACGGGTCTGTCCTACAGGTACACATGAGCAGCATGTGTTTGTTATAACGTTTGAATGAGATATTTGACATCAATTCTTAGTCATGGTTTAAACTTCGTTGTAAACAGATATTCCTTGTTTATTTAGGACATCATATAACGTATATTATATTTTGTTCACTCTTGACCGCTGCGATGTCCCCAGGCGTATAACGACTACCTGTAAATAATCGAGTCTGGATCTGACAAACGTAGAGGTTCACATTATCAGCAACGTTACACGCCTTCGGGGCACGATGACTCAATAAACCACGCCACCGAGCCCAAATTACTGATCCGATCTAGTTGCCTCTTGGCCCATGCAATACTATTTCTAACCTGTTCCAGGAGGCGTTACGTAGATGTAACAAACAAGATCCAGTATATACTGCGATTGGCCCCCTCCTTGGTCTAGTGGATAGAAAACCTATCCGGAGAACGGAAGGTTGGTGGTTGGATAATGTGTCCGCCTCATGCCAATATACGCTTAAAGATGGTGCTTGTTGTTTCCCTGCCTGGCGTTCGGCTTCGAGTGGAGATTACAAGGACTGGTCGGCTCGGAGTCAGTTTACTGTGTCTGAGTTGGGTATCCATGTTAAACAGCGGCGTGGTATTTCAGTAGACTAGCACTTGAAAGGAGGGCATTATTTAGTCGGGACAAGTACAAGCAGCCACACACATGCATGCACGTGTTATATACTCCCCTCCCTATACTGGGTATATACATGTTTGTAAACGTACAGGGCGCTCGGGTGGCCAGGTCGTCTAAGACGCTGCAATTCGCTGTGTAGAGTTGCGCCCCTTGGGCACGCCAGGAACCTATGATTGTGGGTTCGAATCCCTGTTCGCCTCGATAATGTTTCTAGGTTTGTTAGCACCGTACCCGTGCTCGTGGGTTTCACCGAAGTGGTAAACGTCTGAGACCTGCATCACTTCAGTAATACCCCTGCAATACCCCCACATTAAGCTGACACGCTGTCATATAACTGGAATACTGTTAAAAGCGGCGTTAAGCCCAACTCGCTCACTGTACATGCACAATCATAATGTCTTGCTAAAGTTCTGAGTATCACATATACACGGTTCAGTTCGGACAGTCACGCAATCGTCCATTGCCTGATGGTAAGTTTAATTAGCAGTTTAATGCCTGCGATTACGCTATGGACGTAATACAAATAACACAAACATGGATGTCATTGTATTATTTTAATACTGCTTATTTTCAAAAAACCAAAACAAACAACATTACAAAGCTCAACAAAGCGGCGTTTGATCAAAATGTCACGTCGTCGCCTTGTCGCGTTTGTGTAACTGACAGCTTATCTATGCCAAAATAACAAAACATGATCTTTGATTATGAAAATGCGCACAGGTAGGGCTTTAAGGAATATCATGAGTGAGTGTTGTTGAACGCCAAACAGTACTGCAGTCAAACCCGAAGTGATGATGGGAGTGTAACCTCCGCCACAGTTTCCCGGCACGCCAAGGGTACGCAGGATTACCATGTCTCCTCATTGATAATAACTAGTTGTTGGAGTCGGAATTAAATTACACACAAAAATACAAGGTGTTTCTTGCTGTGAAAACACTTTGGTTTATGAAAATAACACCCTGTAATTTCCCTATTTCAGTTGTCGTGAGGAAAGTTGTATTATGGTCCTAAACCAGTGATTGATATTTGAGATATAGGCCGAAGTTAACTTCTCTTCACACTGGGGGGGGGGGGGGGTATTTGTACAAGTATCATTTTGTCCCCAGCTTGATTCAACTAAAACACATTTTGAAGGGAACACATCATAAGACATAGTACCGAGATCTCGTTCCCAAGGCCGTATTGAGCAATACTTGTTTATTTTCCCATACACTAAAGGACAATCCCCGCTGGAAATACCACTCTGACAAACACGGTTAAATAAGCCTCAGGTTCAGGAGGGGCGTGTTTACCGAACTGTGTCATGTAAGTTCCATCACGTGATCCTGACGAAACGTATTTCACAATGCTGCATGTATACGTAACGAGATCCGTGTGTACCGTGTATATACAAACTGGTTTAGTGTGTCTCCCTCCTTAGTCTGGCGCAGCCATGGTCGGGTGAGTGAAGCTCTATTCACCTGAATTTGATCATTATGATACAGGGGGTACAGGGGGCACGGGTGGCCCAGTCGTCTAAGGCGCCGCGATTCGCTGTGCAGAGTTAATTCCCTTGGGCCGCCAGAAACCTATGATTGTGGGTTCGAAACCCGGTTCACCCCGATTATGTTTCTACGTTTGTCAGCACCATACCCGTGCTCGTGGGTTTCACCGAAGCGGTAAACGTCTGAGACCTGCATCACTTCGGGCTTTCCTGCCACATTAAGCTGACACGCCGTGATATGACTGCAATACTTTTAAAAGCGGCGTTAAATCCAACTCACTCACTCACTCACTCATTATGATACACTGCATATTATGTGTTATACAGCTGCGTGACATCGGTCAATTTTAAAGGTAACGGGATCCTGGCTGATGTGTATAACTGTAATAATATGTATATTGACATTAATGAGGACGAGAATTTATGGATGTCAACTTCTAAACTCCGTTACCTCATTGTCTACCCCGAGGTTAAAACTGAAGGCCAGGTGATCTAAGGCCATGTGACTCACTGTTCTGATATATTGTACATAACCGTGGCATTTCTGACTCTATCATAAAACAACACTCACTCACACACGTACACGTGTCAGGATCCGCAGGTCGATTTTTGAATCCCAGATGGGGTCGATCCAAAATCCGATCAGTAAAACACCCTTTCACCAAATTGTATCGGTTGCAATTTTGCTCACCATGAAAGGGGTACGCAGACACACGATTCCGACTATATCATGAGCATGTGTTTATTAATCACTATCAAAAAGGCATCAGAGTTTGGAGTCCGCTTTTAAGCTGGCACGCCATTCTGGCACTGGTGTTGCTCTTCTTTCAAAATCGACACGAGTTGATAAAAGTTGGAAAACTCCGAGGCTTGCCGATGATTTTTTCCACTTTTATCAACCAACATCATTCTTCCAACTTTTTCAGTTTGTAGACAGTAATAAGCAGTGTCTTAAGTGTAAAAAGTACTGCTAACAGCTTCAGTAGCAGAGCCATTAGTGATGTCATTTGATTGTGACGTCATGGTAACCAATGACATTACAATGGTCTGCAAATTGATCTCACCCAAGGGATATCTCCCGTGGGAGCCAGTTTTGGATGATAACTTAAACGTGAATATTCGTGCATTTTATAAACGGTTCAAAGTGTAATCCGATACCAAACTAACTCACAACGTAATTTTATGTGATGTGTGTGTCTGGATGTGCAAGGTATCGCTAGAGCCCAAACACTACAATTAATTTGGTCATTATCTGTCATAAAGTGTGATAACAACATTCACTTTATTAACTAACTGACAAACACATTGCTTGTCCTCAATTTATGTACCTGTTTGACCAATACCATACAGTACTCATGTTATTGCCAGGACGCTGACAATTCTCCTGTTGCTTCTTGGGACGTGCGGTGTGTCAGGGTATGGCGAATACCGGAAGCGCCTTCCAAATGGAGAGCGGGTTCCACATCCTTGCAGAGCCAACTTCTACTGGCATGGTCTGGGCCACATCAACGCTCTTGGAGGTGGAAGCCGAAACGACTTTGGCAAAGACTTCGCTGCCCACGGACACACGGTATACTTTTGATAAATAATGTATTTGTTATACAATTGCCATATCCTGTGATGGGATTCGAATGGAGGTTCTTATATCTGATCCGAGGGCGTACACCTTCTCCAATGACTAAAGAGGTTAACTCCCGTCAGCACCAACAAATTAAGGGTGTCTACGCCCTGCTATAAAGACAGCTGTAAAAAGAATTATTTTTAGGGCCATTCCTTTCTGTAGTAATAATACATTTAATAAATTTAATACATTACATGTAATTTAATACATTTTGCAACTAGTGTCGTATATTTTTGAAACTATTGAACAAAATATTTATAATCTCGTGACCATCAGTCGCAAAATGCAACTTTCCAGTTTCCGTTTGTTAATTTTTTTCATAATAATTTATATTCTATGTATCAAGTGGACACAAGCCTTGTGCCGTTTAGACTCTGATGGTGACGGACTGACCAACGGTCAAGAGTTGGGTGACCCAGACTGTGAGTGGATTGCAGGCAGTGACAATGTGCCCTCAAGGACGACCGAGATGACACACCCAGGTATGCAGCATAAAGAAGATATATTTTCATCCCACTAAATATAACATTGGTGACTCCAGGTGCCACTCACTCATGCTTGTTGTAAGAGCCGACTAAAATATGGACTTGTTGTCAGGCTCATCGGAGCGTTGAGTATCCAATCGATGGTCCAGATGATGTACAAGTCTCCGTTGATACAACTGGAATATTGCCTACAGAGGAGTAAAATTGTTAACTGCGTGATTGTTATCATTGGCATGGAACTATGTTCGCAGTCGTCTTTGAAGTTGTTCCTTAGCTGTGCCAAGATCAGCTAGCCGTTGATGCGAATCCCGTGTTAGCCCTGATAATGAGCCCAGTAACAAATAAGATTTGTTTGTTGTTTAACTCCGAAATATCCCAGTTATATGACGGCGCTCTATAAATAATCGACTCTGGGGTGTAATCAAACAGTCCGGTGATTGAAATCATGAGCATCGATCGAAGCAATTAGGACACGATGACATGCATCAACCGAGTCAACGAGCCTGACCACCCGATCCCGTTAGTCGCCTCTTACTAGCAGAGTCGCCTCTTACGAAAAGCATGGGTTGCCGAAGACCTATTCTTACCTGGACCCTCGCGGTTCATAAGACGCCTGATTGAATCTTTTACGAAATGTGACAATTCGGCATTTTGGTTAATTTTCACATTGACCATGAACAAGCGTTTTTTTTTCGTTTTTTTTGTAGTTCATCTTGTAAGTTATAATGATCATCAATATTCATCCGTGTCCTGTCAGGAGTACATAACGGGGATAAAGTCATTTTAAAAACGTTTTACTAAAGACTCAAAGCATTCGATTTGATAGACGGCAACTGTATCAACAAAATCGTTTATATCATATGTGTACACGTTGACACAAAGCTAGCTCGATGTGTGGAGAACGACCTTGTTACCAAAGTGATTATAATATACTCCAGGTGTGTGTGACCCCTTTAACTCCGCCGTGTGCGCAACTAAGAATGATTGGGTGTCGTGCAAGGGGACAGAACTGGAATGTGATGCAGTCAACTCGCCAGGTAAGTTTGTTGATCAATTCATGACTAATGATCCTTTTCAATTATTTCATATGTCTGTTTGCAGTCAGTCTGTGTACACACGAAGAGAAAATAACTTGTCTAATTTATTCATCTCTGCCGTTACAGATGTGCTGAACTTCACGATTCGCTTCCCTGAGACGGAAGTCCCGGCAGAGGACACCACCTATATCTGCATGATATTCGACGTCCCCGGGGACCGCGACTACCACTACATTGCAAGCAAGCCTCTCATCGACAACGACAACGTCATGCATCACATCGTAGTCTCCGGTTGCCCAGACACGTCAGGTGCGTTGAAACAGTCTTAAGTTGAAAACAGTTTGTTGACGGTTTCACCCCAGTGTTAAATGTAAAGAACATAAGATAGAAACATTTTCTTTTCTACGATTTCCCTTTGTGATGTGTGGCGATTCCGGGTGAGGATAATGGCCGTAAGAGCCGCTTCAATGGGTGTTAGGTTCGTTGACGCGGTTGACAGAGTGTCATCATTCCCTGAAGGCGTGGGGCGCTGCTCATAATATCAATGACTAAGTTGTTTGATCCTGAGTGTGACGTTAAACAAAAAGCAAGCAAACAAATTGTATGAACATTTGGAAATCCCTATCAAAAAGTGTGTAGTGTATACATTGATATGCATATTTCTGTTTTGCAGAGGCACTTCCAAACGCACCATACAAATGCGGCATGAGTGCAGGGAGAGGATGCACGGTTGCTTTGGGAGGATGGTCAGTTGGGTCTCCCGGAGAATGTCTTAACGACAACTTTGGACTATTGTTTGGAAAATCAAAATTTACCCGGTTTGCCCTTGAGGTACCAGTGACAAATTTTTCTTTCGTATTTTTTGTTACTTGTTTAACGCTGCAAATATTCTGGACCAGTCTGGAGCAGACAAATTAGTCATTCTTGTGGGAACCTGTTCTAACGTGGAATACCCGTCGGGATTATGGTGTGTATCATGCTTCAGTCTAAATCCACCTATCAGATTCTCACGGCTTGGAACCTTTACATACATGCTATGGGATAGACTATTCTCACATTCCATTAATACGAAAAATTGTTCATTCATCTGTGTTCGTTCAGATTAATGAGAGTTTCCGTGTATGTTCTGGTGGATTTAATTAATCAGGAGAGAAACATAATTTTCCACGTGGAGCTATGTAAGCTCCACAATTGTGGAACCAAACGCTTTGCAAACCCATCGCATCACGTCACAAGTTCTTTCCAAGCCTGGCAACAACTTTCTCGTTCACTGATAATTTCATTTCCACTCTACCTTTTTCAGTTTCACTGGAACAACCCGAACGAAGTGAGTGGGTGGAAGGACAGTTCAGGAATGACCTTCTTTTACACTCCCAAACTGAGACCAAATAATGGCTCTATCATGTCGCTCGGACAGTGGCATCTAGCAATACCCCCTGGACGACCGGAGGTCACTTTCAGAGGGGAATGCACATCTGACTGCACTCAAAGGTTGATGACAGAGCCCATCTATGTCCCAATGGCCGCGAACCATATGCATTACTTGGGTAAGTAATGTGAAGCATACTTGTGGTTCACAAGGTTTTCGTTATTTTCCTCCCGTTAATTGAGACCCAAGTGGATGTGGTTTAAGTACCTTGATGTGGTAAACATATCAATTCCGTCAACCATGGCTGTTGAAGGTATCACAATATGTGAATAAAAAACACCTTTTCCATATCTTCCTTGATGTGTGTGGCGTTTAGCATTAAAATTCAACAAATTATATAATAACCTTCTCTGGAACCTCAAAAAGTTGTCTGTTTTTTGTTTGTTTTTAAAATGGAGCATGCCACTTAATCTGGCTTTAATTCAAATTTCAAAATGCTAAGGAAGACGACGAATATGAACGTTTTCAATTCTTGGCAAAACAAAGTATTGCTAATATTGTGCAGTTTTAGTGGTGAACTTTGTCATATTTTTGTCACTAGAAGACTGGCGTCAATAGTCAGTGTGTATGATCATCGTTACAGGTACAGCAGGATTCGTAGAGCATATCCGAAATGGACTAAGGCTCCGATATTTGACCAAAGATTCAGAGTTCAGCTATGACAACCCTCGCTACTACAAGTAAGAACTTGTTATGTGGAGATTTGGGGCTAGGGCGTTTAACTCACTCACTGTTGATACGATTGTCATGATTGTTAAGTCCCCAGTTGGATAACGATGTAGATAGGAAATGCTGTTCTAAGATAAAAGATTTTCCGTCATATAACCATCAAAGATATGACGAATTTGAAGTGGTATATAGAAACAGCCGCCGAGCAAGTTGTGATAATTGTTTTTGTCAGTGTGTAACACAGTGAGGTGAGATGGGGTGAAATGGGATTTAACGTCGCGTCCAAGATTATTGCACTTATATAGCGACGTGCATGCACGTGTATGTGTGTGTGTGTGTGGCTGCTTGTACTAGTCCGGACTGATGCCGATTTTAAAGTGCTCGCCCACTGACATATCATGCCACAGTTTAACATGAATACCCCACTCACACACAGTATACTGACTCCGAGCCGACCAGTCCTTGTTTTAGCCCCTAAATGCCTAGCGCCAGACAGGGTAACAACAAGTAGCATTTTTTAACGTCTTTCGGTATGACGCGGCCGGGGATCGAACCTCCGACCTTCCGCGCTACCACGAGAGCAAGGAGGCGGTCCAATGTGTAATAAAATTCGGATGTAACGATCATCATTAAGTGATACTCTTTATTGTCTTCATTAACGCTCAAACCTTTTGTCGCCACAGTTTTGACGAACCAGTTCAAATTCTTCCCGGAGATAGCTTAGTGACCACCTGCACATTCCAGTCGACATACAAGAAGAACTGGGTATTCTATGGCGATGCAACATCTGATGAAATGTGCTATGGGTTCCTGTGGTATTATCCCGAGCACGCTCTGAAGAATGGCAATTGCGTGTCGTGGAAAGGCATCAACATGTGTGGAAGTGAGAGCATCACCGTGGGGAATTGCAACGTCTGGGAATTTCTATTTCAAACCGATGCTCAGTCGAAGGCACTCTACAAGGCAGTCTCCACCAACTGCAACCTCGCTTCCAACATGTGCACACCTGAATGCAAGATGGCGGTCTTGGACTACATGCAACATCCATGCATGCGTGGAGGAGATGCCACAGGCTTCATCAGACATTTCTCGCTAGATTCAGTACCCGCTCTGGCGTTCCTGGCCAAGTTGAGGATGTGCGATTTTAAAATGACTGACGTTGGCTTCCCAACTTCCGGTGCCACAGGAACCAGTATGGCTTCCTTGCTGTTGATCATGGTTGCACTGCTCATGACATAGATTCAAAACACGTGCTGACGCATTAATCCTTCAAAAGTTTTGTTTTCAATATTTTTTATCAAATAGTTTATAATATAAATATATATGTATATATATATAATATGAATAGCAATGTATATATGTATTTATATAATATGAATAGCAAATGAGCAAATACGCAAATAACATAACTCTTTTACTTTGATTCGTTAATCTGAAAATTGGTTAGTCCATATAATTTTACTATTAGCAAACTAAATGATCATTGTCACTATTTCACAGGTTTGAATACATCGATGATCAATCGTATTGCATACAATATCGTGATGCATTGACCATGATTTTTCGGGGCAACTTCGAAAACATATAACTACTTTGTTCATGTTCGGGGCGGTTGGGTAGCCTCGAGGTTAAACCGAACTCAGCAATATTCAAGCTATATGACGGCGGTCTGTAAAATAATCGAGTCTGGACCAGACAATCCAGTGACTGACATCGTGAGCATCGATCCACGCAATCGGGATCGATGATATACATCAACCAAGTCAGCGAGCCTGACCACCCGATCCAGTTAGTCGCCTTTTACGACAAGCATAGTCGCCTTATAACGGCAAGCATGGGTTGCTGAAGACCGATACTACCCCGGAATCTTCACGGGTGCTCCGGGTACGAGTCGACTAATGGGTGCAATGTGTGAATCACTCACCCACCCATTCCTTGCCGTTCCTTACTTTAAAAAATGAGCCCCTGTCCGAATATTGTCCTTTGAAATAAACGTTTCATGAACACGTCTGTGTTTTTCGGATTTTGATTTATGCGAATAGAGGACGTACATATTGTTGACCTTATAAACAAATTATTTTATGCACAGGAAATGAAGAAGTTTAGCTCATTTGAATCATATTGCGTGGGGGGCAAGGGTGGCCAAGTCGTCTAAGGCGCCGCGAGTTGCATTCCTTGGGCACGCCAGAAACCTGCTATTGTTGGTACGAATTCCGGTTCGCCCCGATTATATTTCTAGGTTTGTCAGCACCATATCCTTGCTCGTGTGTTTCACCGAAGTGGTAAACGTCTGAGACCTGTATCACATCGGGCTTTCCTCCCACATTAAGCTGACACGCCGTGATATAACTGGAATACTGTTAAATGCGGCGTTAAACCCAACTCACTCTTATTCCGTGATTCTTTTACCTCCCGTATATATCATGCACTGCTCTAGAATTCTTTTAATGAAGGAAAAATGCCAAATCCACTTTGTATGCTAGTAAATAGTTTTTTTTACCTTGGCTAAAGGAAACAGACTTCAGTCTGAACACGACTGACCAAACACACTCGTGTATTTTTTCCATGCATTTTGAACAAAACGATTTGTATTAAACAGTTTTATGGTTATAGAACAAGATGAAAATGCACGAAAGGTATAAAAAGCAAGCGGTTCGACCCCGAAACGTCATAGCTCTTAAAAACAAACGAGGAACATGTCAAGGTTATCGGCAGAACAGAGAGAGGGGTTTTCCTTTGGGTAGCGATGAGCTATGGGGAAAAGGAAACTTACTTGTAAGGGATAGGGGATTGCGAAAGCCCGCCCAACAGCTGGATGAGGAAACAAAGGGGTGATGACGTATGTGACCGCAAGCGCGAAACCTGATAAGTAGGTAACCTTTGCGCGAGTAGAAATTAGAAAATAAATTGGTTTGTTACATGGGTACACACATACGTTGTCTTAAACAAAATGTTGTACCTGAGGCAATGCGGGATTAGGGTGCTGAGTGGACTCAGCATGCAAGGAGCTGTATCAGTCTTGGAACATGGTTTGTTGATTGTTGCGACCACTGGTTTATTGCCGCAGTTGAAGCATACCATATTGTTTGCTGAATGCTTGTCACGATGTTGAATGACCTATGCCATGGGCAACAGCTCCAGTAGAGTCATATCAGGTCCAATCATCTGCCGCTGAACCTTTAGACCTGTGGGTTGGCCCCAAAACCAGGCCCCCCAGACGCATCTGTAAACAGATATACGAATGACAAAGCCTGCAACTTGTCAACCACATTCTAGGTCTTCCTTGACCCAGGTGGTAATCCTATTGTGGTGAAATGGTTGCTTACCTTTGCTAAGCAGCTCGAACAGCCTGTGGCTTAAAGCCCTTTCCAATCGTATAGCGAGCACATTCACGTTAAGCTGTTTAACTGAAGGGACCTTTTTGTCACCTTTCTGTTACCTGTTGCTTGGGATCTTCATTAACCTTCGTTATCAGGTATACTTGCGCCGCCATTTTTTCTCTCTTACCGGCTGCTTTAGTGTGCATATATCCCATTCACACAAAGTGATGCGTATTCCCCCTAAGGTCGGTTAGGATTGGCTACCCATGCCGCATCACTCGAAGCCTCATTATGGGCTTCTCGAGAAGGGCTTACCCCGATGTAAGGGAACTGAAACCAAGCCTTGCCTGCTGCTTTGCGTTTGAAGAGTCAGGAGCTAATGCTTTAGAAATTGAAGAATGTTCTCCAGTTTCTGGTTGACTCGTCTATTCAGGTCCATAATGCAAGAACGCTCGGGTGCAGACCTCTGATCATTGCGTGACTACTTCAACTATACCACCAGACTGGGCACACAAGGGACAGGCCACAACGTGTTAAACAGTGTGGCTCTAGGATTTGTCAAAGAGGGTCAGATCCGTAAATATGCAGGGTAGAATAGGTTTTCAAAAACCAATGCTTGCCGTAAAAAGCGACAGTGCTTGTTGTAAAAGGCGACTCATGGGATCGGGTGGTCAGGCTCGATGACTTGGCTGATGCATGTCATTTGATCCCAATTGTGTGGAACGATGCTCATGATGTCAGTCACTGGATTGTCTGGTCCAAACCCCTTTTATTTACAGACTGCCACGAAATATATTCGCCCCCAGAATAAAATCTCCCCCCGGCGAATTTATACCGGTACAGTTCCGCCCCTCTCGAAATAAACTTTCCCCCACCCTACGAAATAAAATCTCCCTCCTGAATATTTCCTCCCCCGGTCGTTTTATGCCCTGCAGTTCAATATGTTTTTTAAGTTGTAGATAACGTATGAATCCCTTCACAGATTACTTTATCTCATTTCTATATGACGTGCTATTTTACTTCTCTGTGTTGTTCTTGTTTTCTCGTCAGTATGAGGTTATACTGTATCATTTTTACTATTTTGAAATTTTGCAATATGTTGCGGTCATCAGTTACGCAAATCAGTTTCGATTTGTCTTTTTAACAAGGTGTTCTTCATTAAGATTCACCGCCAGCCCGATTGTAACAATTACATGATTGTGCACTTTGCTTTGACGATGCCGGTTGATATTGTTCAATACAGGCTGGCGATGGGTGTTTTTGAATCTATTCTACATGCGAATCATTTCGGGAGGATGATACACACTTATCTGTATTTTGAGTTACTTTGCTGATATAATTTCCGATTATCATTCTTAGTTTTACTTTTTCTCTTCTGCTGCGGTGATATCCATCCGAATCCAGGACCTTTGCATAGTCCAGATTTAAAGACTTATGGTATACATCTAAACGTACGCAGTCTTAAAGACAAAGTAGATTTCATCAGTGCTGAATTAGATAGTTATGATGTTGTATGTTTAACAGAAACATGGTTGCACCATGATATTCTAGGCACTGAGGGAGACTTTATTCTGAGGGGGCGCGAAATATATCCGCCCGGGGGAGATTTTATTTCAGGACAGATTCTCCTGGGGAGAATTTGTACGGGGGAAAGTTTATACCGGGACACAGGCATATAGCTTGCGTTAAACAACAAATATACAAACAAAGAGGGTCACAGTAGAATGACCAAGGTCCATCAACAACAGTGAACTAGGGGAAGGTCGTCTAAAACTGTGTGACGTTTGCAGGAACATGATTGGTCAAGGGTACTGTTCAACGACGAGGCCAATTATTTTTCATACTGTTCAAGTCTGATATTCGGATAGAGCAACAGCATCACCATCACCATCCTTGAATCCACCTGTAAAAATAGTTTTGTAAGTATCATATTCGCTTCATAACTGAATCTATTTTGGTGGATATTGTAGTTGATTTGTGCCAGATAAGGTAAGATCCACCTGTGGCTTTACCAATTGCCAAGGAGGGGAAGAAAGGAGACGGGAAGGATATATAGTTTCAAGTTATAAAGGACAGGCATGAATAGAATTCTGCTTTAGGAGCGGTGTGTTTTCCGAAATGTGTCACCTATTTCGCAATGCTGTATTTACCTCCAACCTAGTTTGTGTATATATAGGGGTACACGTTGAATGTATGTCATTCGTTTGACTAGCACAGTTCTTGAATCTTGAAACACAGGACAAAATAACTTTGAATGTATTCCTTTATCTGTGATTTCGTTTTTCGTTAAATAAAATGATTACCTTGTAGATAATAATTAAAAGAAGAAATTATTTCGAATGGAGCATACGTTTAAGGCATAGTGGTCTCTTCGCAGTGTCGTATTGAGCCATTACGCTCTCGAATTGACCAGAACATGAGTCAGTGAGTGAATATTGTTTTACGCCGCTTTTAGCAACATCTTGGCGGGGGACACCAGAAATGGGCTTCACACATTGTACCCATGTCGGGAATCGATCCCGGTCTTCGGCGTGACGAGCAAACGCTTCAACCACAAGGCTCCGCGACCGCCCCGACCAGCACATGAGAGAGAAAGTGAGTGAGTGTGTCGGGTTTGACGTATCTTTTACCAGTGTTTCAGTTAAAGAATGTATCACGGCGTGTCAGCTTGGTGCGGAATGAGGTGAGATGAAATGGGGTCTAACATCGTTTTAAAGATTATTGCACTTAGAAAGCGAAGGGCGTGCTCGTGTGTATGTGTGTGGCTGATTGTACGAGTCTGGACTGATGCCGATTTTATAGTGCTCTTTCCGTGAGATACCATGCCGCAGTTTAACGTGAATACCCCAATCGTACACAGTGTCTGAATCCGAGCCAAACAAGTGCTTGTTTTAATAAAGTATTTTGGTATGATGCGGCTGGGAATCGAACCCCAGACCGTCCGCTCTCCGGAGGCGGTCTGTTGTGGGAGGATTATCTATTTACCGTTTACCCACAACAAATATAGAAACATATTCATTGCAAACTGGGATTCGAACCCACTATCATAGGTTTCTGTCCCGTCAAAGGGACGCAAATCTGCACAAACAATCCCCACGTGATATACCAGTTGAGGTAAGTGTCTGGTTCAGGGTGTGTGTGTGTGTGTGTGTAGGTATGTCACAACGCTGTATTTACCTTCACCCTGGCTTGTGTATATAAGGAGTTCAGGCACATTGAATGCACGGCATTCGTTGCACTAGGACAGTCATGATCGGGTAAGTGAAGCTATATTCTGTTGAATTGGAGCGTTTTTACACAAAACAAATATAGAAGTGTATACAACCGCATCGTCATATATCCTCGCCGTTGCAGTATATTAATACGTCTTCAGCAAGCCACGCCCGTAAAAGGCGGTGTGGTGAGGTGAAATGGGGTTTAACGTCGCGTCCAAGATGATTGCACTTATATAGCGACGTGCATGCACGTGTATGTGTGTGTGTGGCTGCTTGTATTAATTCCGGACGGATGCCGATTTATAGTGCTAGCACACTGAGATACCATGCCGCAGTTAAACATGAATACCCCACTCAGACACAGTATATTGACTCCGAGCCGACCAGTCCTTGTTTTACCCCTTAATGCCGAGCGCCAGACAGGGTAACAACAAGTACCATCTTTTAACGTCTTTTGGTATGACACGGCTGGGGATGGAACCCCGGACCTTCCGCACTCCGGGCGGACGCTCTACCATTAGACCACAAAAGGCGACTATGCTTTGCTAAAAGAGGCGACTAACGGGATCGGGTGGTCAGGCTCGCTGACTCGGTTGATGATGCATGTCATCGTCTCCCGATATGCGTGGACCGATAGTCAATCACTGGATTGTCTGGTCCAGACTCGATTATTTACAGACCGCCGTCATATAGCTGAAATATTGCCGAGTACGGCGCTGAACACACAAAATGCAATATATTTCATCAATTTACCCACACTTGATAAAATCCTTTGGACGTATCATAAACCTAATTTGTATTGTATTTCTAAGTTTGAGTAATAATGACAACCTATACATACTTTTCAATATGCTAGTATGAAGAGAGAGAAGATTAATCTGAAAAGGGCTAATTTCCAGAATTTCAAGAGAAACTCAAACAAGGAGCAAGCCCGTGACTGATGCTGAACGTTTTACAGTTTGATTTGTTGTGATCTCATATATACTATAATTAAAATAACTTGGATTGATCATGTTCAAGTATTTAAAAACTACTTCCTGAAAATCTTTAAAATAGCTGCTTCGGCCACACCCAGACCTTATTTACATTCAGAGTGAGTGAGTATGGTTTTACGCCGCTTTTAGCAATATTCTAGCAATATCACTGCGGGGGACACCAGAAATGGGCTTCCGAGCCGACCAGTCCTTGTTTTACCCCTTAATGCCGAGCGCCAGACAGGGTAACAACAAGTACCATCTTTTAACGTCTTTTGGTATGACACGGCTGGGGATGGAACCCCGGACCTTCCGCACTCCGGGCGGACGCTCTACCATTAGACCACAAAAGGCGACTATGCTTTGCTAAAAGAGGCGACTAACGGGATCGGGTGGTCAGGCTCGCTGACTCGGTTGATGATGCATGTCATCGTCTCCCGATATGCGTGGACCGATAGTCAATCACTGGATTGTCTGGTCCAGACTCGATTATTTACAGACCGCCGTCATATAGCTGAAATATTGCCGAGTACGGCGCTGAACACACAAAATGCAATATATTTCATCAATTTACCCACACTTGATAAAATCCTTGGATTGATCATGTTCAAGTATTTAAAAACTACTTCCTGAAAATCTTTAAAATAGCTGCTTCGGCCACACCCAGACCTTATTTACATTCAGAGTGAGTGAGTATGGTTTTACGCCGCTTTTAGCAATATTCTAGCAATATCACTGCGGGGGACACCAGAAATGGGCTTCACACATTTTACCCTTGTCGGGAATCGAACCCGGGTTTTCGGCATGACGAGCGAACGCTTTAACCACTAGGCTACCAAACCGCACCGCATTCAGAGTTATAAGTCGAATAATGTAAGTGTTTAAATTGCTTGTCGATTTTGTGAACACTTTTTTCTTGACGTGTTGGTCGTTTCTTGCAATAAGACCTTGGCGCGAACCTAGACAATATCGTCTTATCTCATTAATTACTCTGCACAACGTATTCAAATCTGCTCCTATATATAATACGCAGGGCAACCATACGCAAGTTTATCAACAGTATGCCGTCAAGCTGCCGTGCATGTATTGATGGACACACCAGATATTGGTCTGACCGAATTAAATTACGAACATTTATCGTCATCACACCTTCACTACGATTTTACCAGTTCTCTTCTTTTTTTTTGTCGTACACTACATTACATAAGTAACTTCCTCCTAGTTTCGCAAAACTATAAAATTGGGCAATCTGATTGCTCTGTTTGCTCTGTGTTAGTGAAGGGCCGGAGTCTGGTGACTGAGGAGCCAAGAACTGTGTTCCTGTGGCCGAACACAACACTTCGACCTTTCCTTCACTTGGACCGGGGGCACGGGTGGCCCAGTTGTCTAAGGCGCCGCAATTCGCTGTGCAGAGTTGCGTCCCTTGGGCACGCCAGAAACCTATGATTGTGGGTTCGAATCCCGGTTCGCCCCGATGTTTCTGGGGTTGTCAGAACCTTACCCGTGCTCGTGGGTTTCACCGAAGTGGTAAAAGTCTGAAACCTGCATCACTTCGGGCTTTCCTCCCACACTAAGCTGACACGCCGTGGAATAATGTTAAATGCGGCGTTAAACCCCACTCACTCACTCACTCACTCACTCACTCACTCACTCACTCACTCACTCACTCACTCACTCACTCACTCACTCACTCACTCACTCACTCACTCACTCACTCACTCACTCACTCACTCACTCACTCACTCACTCACTCACTCACTCACTCACTCACTCACTCACTCACTCACTCACTCACTCACTCACTCACTCACTCACTCACTCACTCACTCACTCACTCACTCACTCACTCACTCACTCACTCACTCACTCACTCACTCACTCACTCACTCACTCACTCACTCACTCACTCACTCACTCACTCACTCACTCACTCACTCACTCACTCACTCACTCACTCACTCACTCACTCACTCACTCACTCACTCACTCACTCACTCACTCACTCACTCACTCACTCACTCACTCACTCACTCACTCACTCACTCACTCACTCACTCACTCACTCACTCACTCACTCACTCACTCACTCACTCACTCACTCACTCACTCACTCACTCACTCACTCACTCACTTGGACCGGTGGTAAATAATGGGCCTGTTTCGGCTGCTCATGGCAAGCCCTGTGCATAAGTTGTTTTGAATATGAAAATGTATTTTGTTTGAGGAGGTGACTCGTGGGTCAATCTGACTATGTTGACCTCCGAATTCTATATGTTTCTAATTTCTTGTTTTGGACCGAACCAGTCTGACATTTAATTTTGATAAACCCATAAAGCTTTTCACGTGATACTTGCTGGAGTGTACCACACCTGTAGCCTTCAACCAAATTAGCTTAATCCATTCGCCATTTCCAAAGCTGTTTCTCGAATTTGTGAATAAGTGAAGAATGTGACACGTCTTCAGAACGGTTCGCCTTTTGTTGAGCGTTCACAGAGACAGCAATTTCTCAATCTGTTATTAACTATACACAGTAAAAAAAGTGTTGCACCCTCACATTAATACGTTTGATACATCACAACATTTAAAACGCCCGACTCTGGTTTTAATGGTAGGTATTCCTTGGGGATCTGATGTTAAATGTGTAATGTTTTCGGAGGGAAGATGATCACCAAAACGTAGCAATCAGCACGTGAATTGCATGGTGCATGACATTTGCAGATTGCAGTATCTTCTTAAGCTCAACATCGCCTATAAAAGATGTTCTCTGACAGCCCAGTTTATTGTAACCCACAATGCCGGGTAGACGATTGTCAGAAGCAGTCAAGTGGCAGATTATTGGCCTTCATGGAGCAGGTCTTTCGTTCAAGGAGATTGGCAGAAGAACCGGACATCACTACTCAACAATAAGCCGTTTGGTCAGAAAACACGCACAAACTAATGATGTAAGGAATCGCAGACCCTCTGGCAGACCACGTAAGACCACAGTTAGAGTTGACAGAGCGTTGTTGAGGGTGGTAAGGCGTCATCCATTTGCTACAAGCACAACCTTGAAACGTCTTTGGCTTCCTCGTCAACAGTTCAGTACCCAGACCGTGAGAAATCGTCTTAAAGCTGCAGGGTTGAAGTCCAGAAGGGTTATCAAGCGACCTAAACTCACAGACAACCAAAAAACGACTACGTCTAGCCTGGTGTAGACTGAGACAGAACTGGAACTTGAGGTCCTGGAGAAGAGTCCACTGGTCGGACGAAAGCAGGTTCCTTCTGCATGTTGTGGATGGCAGAGTGAGAGTATGGAGGCGTCCTGGAACAGCTTATACTGCAAGAAACATCATGCCAACTGTACCATATGGAGGTGGATCTGTTATGGTCTGGGGATGCTTCTCATTTAATTGTAAGCTTGATTTAGTGACCATACGAGGCAACTTGACAGGGGAGCGCTACATCCAAGAGGTGCTGAATCCAGTTGTGGTGCCCCATTTTGACAATCATCCACTGGCCACCAGACCGATATTCATGGATGACAATGCCAGACCACATCGTTCACGAGCTGTGACCCAGGTTATCCACAACAATGCTCTGACGCAGATTCCATGGCCAGCAATGAGTCCAGATCTGAATCCTCTGGAACATGTATGGGACATTTTGGGACGCCTGATTTATCGTCGGGACCCTCCTCCACAGAACTTGCGTGAATTGGAAGCAGCATTACACGAGGAGTGGCAGCAGCTGCCCATGGAGCTGTGTTCGTCAAATCTCCATATGACATTCTTACCCTATTGGATGAATTTGGTCACTAAAAATTATTGAGATGTCACCATACTTAATGCGTCTTCGTTGTTCGTTCATTTTTCGTAAAAGTTCAGCATGAGATTATTACATGCCATAAGGTCATGGAATACCCCATTTAAGTTCATTGTATAGACAATACACTGGTTTGTTGGTATACACGAAATCCTGGTTATAATATTAATTCGGTTATCTTTACACCCTTTCAAAACACCCCTCCATGAAAAAGTATAGGGGGTGCAACACTTTTTTTACTGTGTATACATTAAGTTGCCATTATTGAGGTGTCTGTGAACAAAACTCTTGTCGAGGCATTGTGCGTTACAAAGCTCGTTGCCTGTCTGGCATCTCTGAGCATGACATTTCAGAGGAACTGAAAACACAAGGAGTAACAGCGGTTAAGTGGTTAAACTAGAGATGATGACATTATCCTGTGAAGTACTTATCTGTTTATTTTTGCAAAAGCTGATTACGTCAACATCGAACTGGAGGTGTATGTAACCAATCGACTCATACTTTATAGTTCAAAGGTTTGGACATGATTCAAAATTATCCGATCACTCTGTGGTTGTGGCGACGGCCATGACAACACTTATCACACAGCAGAAATTAAATTGCAAAGGGAGACATCTAGCATCATCTATCATCGGTAATGTCATGTGTGTCAAAATCAATTAACGAAACTTCTAACATTTAAACAACAAAAGAATAAATCATTTCAGGGGCAAAGAAGCAAAATTGAAAGTGACTCTTCACTAACAACAAAAACTAAAACATATTCTGCAGTTGTCACTCGTTCTAGTTCAGTCAGTTTGAAGAAATCAAGGAAGGACTTGCCATGAACAAAACTGTTTGTTTGTTTGTTGTTTTACGCCACATACAGCGGTCTGTAAATAATCGAGTCTGGACAAGACAATTCAGTGATTGACATCATGAGCATCGATCCACGCAATTGGTATACGATGACATGCATCAACCAAGTCAGCAAATTGACCACCCGATCCTATTAATCGCCTCTTACGACAAGCATAGTCGTCTTTTACGGCAAGCATGGGTTGCTGTAGACCTATTCTACCCCGGATATTTCTTGCGTGTTTATGTATTGTTGTGATAAAGGGCCAACATTTACTTTGAGCAAACATCATCTGGGTACACAAACGTATGTAGGAATCTGTGGGAATCGGTAGGTGATTATGCACAGACATACTCAAACCACTCTTTCACGGGTATGTCACAATGTCTGAACGTATATTGCCAATACAGCCCTGACCTGGTTCAATATTTGCTTTTGATCGCAATGTTAAGAGACTTATAAAGAGCCCCTCTAGGTACGGCTGTTCTTGTAGCGATATTATATTCCATTTGTCCTATTGAAAGAGCAACGCGTCACAAACAAAAGCAGAGGTGCGGCCCTGGCGACGCAACAAGGCCCAGGTATTGCGCCATGCTATCGACAAGCACACAACTTGCATTGTATACCTGTGACATGATCGACCAAGCGGTAAAATAATTACATTTGCAAAGTTGCACGAAAGTAACTTCAGGGCGTGTGTGCGTCCTTGGGAAAAAACACAACAACAACACACACACACACACACACACACACACACACATACACACACTCCCTCTCTCTCAATCTCTACCAAAAACAGAGTTGATCGTACGATTCCGACAACACTAAGAGCATGTGTTTATGAATCACTATACAAAACGATACGGGACCATATGGCAAATAGGAAATAACATCGGACATCATTTTGTCACTGATGCGTCAAATTTGAAAATGTCGACCTCATGTCTACCTCAAAACTTCTTGAAAGCCCATGTTGTAGCTCCGATCAAACAACGTCCGAGCAAGAGTGGCAACGTAATATACTACTCAAAAGAAGTTAAGGATCACCTGATTCTTTCATATTACAATAGTTAATCTCTCATGCCATGACAGATTAACATTACCAATATGAAAGAATCGGGTGATCCTTAACTTCTTTTGAGTAGTATATTATGTAATGTATGTGGATGTTCAAGGTATCAGTTGAGCACAAGTACTATAGCAAACGAGTCATTATGTGTAATATTGTGGAAAAAAAATTTTGGGTTACAAAATGACAAACATATTGCATACCATAACTGACAATATACCTTTTAGCTACCAAAACTTACCATGCTCACGTTCTTGCCAAGGACGCTGACAGTTTGTCTGTTTCTTTTTGTCAGGGTATTGCGAATATCAGCAGAACGGGTTCCACATCCTTGCAGAGCCAGCTTCTTCAGGCATGGTCTGGGCCACATCAACGCTCTTGGAGGTGGAAACCGAAACGATAGTGTCACATGCCTAAAAGATAAGTTAGAAACATTTTCTTTTGTATGATTAACCTTTGTAGTATCTGGGGATTCTGGGTAAGAATTATGGTCGTAAGAGGCGACTTAATTGATCGGTTTGTCAGATACGTATTTGATAGGATTTAAACGGGTGATGCTTCTCGATATATCAGTCACTGAGTTGACTGGTCATGAGTGCGGCGTTAAACAAAAATAGTAAAAACAGTTTCGAATATCAAAAGTTGTGTAGCTTATACATTGACGTGTATATTTATGTTTTGCAGAAGAAATACGAAATGCACCATATGAATGCCGATAAGGGATGCACGGCTGGTATTGGCGGATGGACAACTTTGGACTAGTTTTGGAGAAAAAACAAGATATACTCGGTTTTCCCTGGAGGTACCAGTTACCAATATGTTTTTTTTGTATATCATGGAACTGGATATCACTGGAACAACCCGAACGAAGATTGTGGGTGGAAGGACAGTTTAGGAATGACGTTCTTTTACACTCCCAACTTGTGACCGAATAATGGCTCTATCATTTACGCCGCACTCAGCAATATTCCAGCTATATGACGGCGGTCCGTAAATAATCGAGTCTGGACCAGACAATCCAGTGAATGACATCATGAGCATCGATCCACACAATTGGGACCGATGACATGCATCAACCAAGTCAGCGAGCCTGACCACCCGATCCCGCTAGTCGCCTTTTACGACAAGCATAGTCGTAAGTGAAGCATACTTCTGGTTCAAATGGTTTTCGTTATTTTCCTCCCTTTAAATGAGACCAAAGTTTATGTGGTTCGCTGTGTGGAACAGTTCAGGTTTCAGTTGAAGGAGGTGCAGATAACATGTTCTTCTACCATGGCTATGAAGGGTACCACAATTTGTGAATGAAAATACTGAGAACCTTCTTGAGGTTTGCGATGGTAAACAACAAACAAACCGTTTCTTTAAGCACACGTGGGAAGGTAAAGTAGAACGGATCTCTGATTTACTTCATTGACTTATAGGTCAGACTGTTTATGACATGTGTCTAATCCACTTGAATAAAGTACATGTGTCTTTTACTTTGAATCCATGCTTTCAAGAATATACATCCAGGAAATACTATACTCACAGTGAGTGAGTTCATATTTTACGTCACATCTGCAGTATCTCAGCCATATGATGACGAGAACAAATTGAAAGATAAATACCCGTCACAAAGGACAGAAATCATAAGCATGATATCACAGATTGAAATCTAAAAACTAACAAATTCAAACACTAAAACTTCTAACCAACATATATACTTTAACTTAACATTTTATATTATTAAAATGCGAGCCATATACCACCAGTAACTAAAGCCAGACCCCCTAACTGGGTGAGGTGAGGTGAAATTGGGTTTAACGTCGCGTCCAAGATTATTGCACTTATATAGCGACGTGCATGTACGTGTATGTGTTTGTGTGGCTGCTTGTACTAGTCCGGACTGATGCCGATTTATAGTGCTAGCTCACTGAGATACCATGCCGCAGTTTAACATGAATACCCCACTCAGACACAGTATACTGACTCTGAGCCGCCCAGTCCTTGTTTTAGCCCCTTAATGCCGAGCGCCAGACAGGGTAACAACAAGTACCATTTTTTAACGTCTTTTAGTATGACGCGGCAGGGGATCGAACCCCGGACCTTCCGCTCTCCCGGCGGACGCTGTACCACTAGACCACGGAGGCGGTCCACCTTACTGGAACCATGAGGACTTACAGTACTTTAGGTACCTGCATGAATCCCAAACAGGACTATATTCTCACAGACATAAAAAGTCTGAAATAAAAAAGAAAACTATTCAGAGACTATTGACGACGTGAAATACATAAATGTACTAATTGACATATTTTCAAACAGCCTCAGAGTCTAAACATGAGCAATCATTTACTTAACACGAATGTGTCTCAACAGAAGTTGTGTTGAGAAAATCAGATTCGGTGAGTGACTTTTTAGATAACATATCGAATAGGTCTTCAGCAACCGATGCTTGCCGTAAAGGGCGACTATGCTTGCCGTAAGAGGTGGCTAACGGGATCGGGTGGTCAGGTTTGCTGACTTGGTTGAAGCATGTCATCGTGTCCCAATTGTGTAGATCGATGCTTGGTGTGGCGTTAAACAACAAACACACTCACAAATAAACACTAGGCAATTTGCTTGTTTCTCTGGACATAAAACAAATAACACAAACATGGATGCCCTTGTTAGAAGTAATGTTCGTATCTATTTAGGAGCTGTTCATCCAACCTATCAAACTCCGTATCTGCACTGTAATAGGAAAATAGTAAGGCTCTCCGTATTCAGTCATACATTGTGCATGGGCTTACAATACAGGTATACTGACTGAATAAAGACTTCTACAATAACCGTGACAGAAACTGAAACTGACCAAATGTGTTAGTGTAATAATCCTTCTTGTCACACAGTTTGGTTCAGAAGTTGCCATCATGTTTAATTTAGGTACATATATCCAGCTAGGAAATTGATCATGGTTCCACGGTTATCTATCTATTAAAACTTGGGATACAATTAAATTTCCCAACTCCTGTCTTGGAAACACAAGCCCTGTAGTTTTCTCTTTCAGTTATCATGAGGGAATGTTGTATTAGCCATGGAAACATCAAACTTTTCAAAACTTGATAATGTCCTGAACCAGTGATTGATATATGATATACTTTTATCACAAAAGCTTTGTACTACCTAGAAGTTATGAACACACTTTGAGGGGAGCATATCGTAAAACATAGTTGGTTTGGTTGGTTTGTTGTTATACGCCGCACTCAGCATTATTCCAGATATATGACGGCGGTTAAAACATCGTACCGAGATCTAGTTCGCAAGAGCGTATTGAGCAATGACTTGTATATTTCACCCATACACTAAAGGACAATCCTCGCTCAAAAAACAATCCTGCACTTTGACAAACACGCTTAAATAAGCTTCAAGTTCAGGAGGGGTGTGTGTTCCGGAAAGTGTCATGTGTATGTCCCCATCACGTGATCCTCACGAGACGTATTTCGCAATGTTGTATGTATATAGAACGAGATCCGTGTATACTGTGGGTACAGACAGGTTTAGTGTGTGTCATTCCTTAGACTCACGCAGCCATGATCGGGTGAGTGAAACTTTATTCACTTGAATTTGATCATTATGATATACTGAATATGAGTTATACAGTTGCGTTACATCAACTCATTATAAATATAACGGGATCTTGGCAGATGTGTATAACTGTAATAATATGTATATTGTTATAGCTCCTAATGGATTTATTCTCTTTCATCAATTATTGTTAGATGGTTCCCGTGTAGATCTGGGTGAGAGCTGGTTTTTAAAAGCCAATGCTTGTCATAAGAGGCGACTAACGGGATCCGGTGGTCAGGCTCGCTGACTTGGTTGATGCATGTCATCGTATACCAAATGCGTGGACCGATTTTTATGATGTTCATCACTGGATTGTCTGGTCCAGACTCGATTATTTACAGACCGCCGTCATATAGCTGGAATATTTTAAGTGTAACGTTCAACAACAAACAAACGAACAAACGAAAGTCGTTATAGTGAAACATTTTTTGAATTAGTTCTTGAATGGGTTAATGCCCCTTTCAGGCACCGGAAATAATGATAATGATAAAGAGCTTGTCTGCCACAAAAATTATATTTTTGCAAGGTGCTTTTCTTACAAAAATAGTCAGGCTCATATTTGTATTTTTAAAAATATCTGGTTTTGCACCTGTAACTGAAAGATAACTAATCTCTAGACAAAATCCCAGCCCACCCCCGAATATCAAATGGTTGGCAAGTGTAGCAAGTAACCCCAGGCCTGACTGGCGAGTGATATGTATTTGTTGTAACTAATCCGTAAATTTATAAATAAAATCTTAAGTAGCATTGAAAAGTTTTAATAAGTTACAAAATGAAAGTGTCAAAGTGACGTGGCTACACTATAAGTATGCCCCTTTTACAAATAACATTATAAATAGTGTGACAGCAGTATTCAGTGAATAGTTCACTTTAGCCTGGATTCCTGGTTCACTTGTAGCGGTGTTTTCCCTCGAATAGGCTTTGTTGTCTACCGTAGGAGAGCGACGTACTTGTGGAAAATGACCAACACATTATCTCATTAAAAGCCATGGAGTCAGTTGTCAACCCTCAAGAACATAAAATGGAAACTAAAAACACGACTTTGAAATGGTGTTTAGTCACTGTTACAAGTAGTCATTAATTGAATGAAGTTGTGTATTGTATATGTGGTCGCAATAATTAACGTTCTTACGCAATGTGAACACTTCGCATGAATAGTTTTGTGTTAGAATTCAAAATGTCACCGCCAGAATATCTCCTGAAAAAGATTTCATAGGGCTTAAAAAGGTAACATAGAAAAGAATGGCTAACTGAAATGATGACGCCAAGTGTTCGCAAACGGGTAGTTCTATAATGATGCCTGCTCTACCGGTAGAATTCATTAAGACAACGATGATTCTCAGATGGTTGTTCTTGTGAGTTATGCTGCTCGTATTTACATACATGTACATATAAATATTTTTTCTCAATAATCCTATTGAAAAATCAAGATGACATTAAGTTCTTGTTAATAATAAGCACATCTGTGATACCTCTTAAAACTGAAGGCAAGATATTCTAAGACATAAGACTCACTGTTATATTGTACATAGCCGTGGCATTGCTGACTGTATCATAAAACAACATTCACTCACACACGTACCGGTATCAGGATTTGTAGGTCGGGGTTTGAATCCCAGATGGGATCAATCACAAATCCGATCAGTAATCCTTCCACCAAATTGTGTCGGTTGCAATTTTGCTCATCATGGAAGGGGGATGCAGACACAATATTGTAAGAGATGGCAATATTATGAGATGGCATTAGATAGAAGCGGCACAATTCTTTCTATATTCATAAGAAATCTCTGCCAAAAGCAGAGTCGATTGTACGATTCCGGCTATATCATGAGCATGTGTTTATGAATCACTATCAACTAGTGATGATACAAGGTGTTTGCGAAAAGGTAAGCATATTCTACCCTACTGGTGGAACCGGTCACAAACAACATATATACCTACGCGGTACAAGAAATGGGGCATCAGAATGTGGAGTCCCCTTTTAAGCTGACACGCCATCCTGTAAGTGGTGACATGTTCTATGTACGACTGCAGTTTGTAAGGGTATTCAATGTTTACTTAACATATGTAATATAGTTGTTACTGAAACACAATCTACCAAATCTAATCACCTGCTCCATTAAGTCACATATTACTACTACCAGCATAGGTTGATGAAATCCTTAAGGTGTCAATAGTTAAAATAATGCCCTCTCATATAAACCATACATGATCTATCTATTCGACTTCGTATGTCTAGTATGTCCAACAGACAACATGCACCTTCAGTAAACATCATCTGAGTGCATGGACGTTTGTCTAGGAAACTGTAGTTGTGAACCAACACAACAAACAGATTCAGTTGGGCGCATTAACAGTGCTTAAAACAAAGTTGCATGAACTTTAATGACAGTTGAATAGACGCGATCATTTTGCTGACACTCCAATAGTTTGAGTATGGGTACTAAATCGTCCCATAGTCTTCCTTGAAAGGTTCCCCTCCCATAGTTAAACAAGAACGGTCACATAGTATAGCACAGTAGAGTGAACATCACTTGAACATTAGTTTGAGGCATTAACTTGATCGAACTTTGTTTTAAGTAGGAGAAAGTCCTCAATCTCGCGATTATTTTCGCACTTGAAACTTGTTCTCGGCCTAACGGCCTCGAACAAGCTTCACGTGCAAAAATTATCGCGAGATTTCGGACATTCTCCTATACATAATGGCGGTGTTAGGTATATGAATGGCTCACGGGTATTACCCTTTCACGGGTGAATCACTATGTTGGACCCTTTATTGCCACAGACCTAGTTAAACTTTTACTATTGATCGATACATAAAGAGACTTATGAACAGTATCAATTCGGCTATCCTTGTAGCGACAATATCTTACATTCGTCCTGTTGAAAGAGT